GGGGGGGTGGGGGTGGGGGGTGGGGTGGGGGGTCCGTGGACCCCAGTTTGAAAACCACTACTTTAGACCTTAATGTATTTTAAAATGAGTGCAAACATTTAGCAAACAAATTATATGACAGCTTTTAATGCACATTTCTTTCTTCTTTCTCTCCCAGATAGTGTTTCTGTCTAATTAGAACAAAAAAATGTTAAATCGTTCAACCTTTTTTGTTGTTTTCTACCTGGATGATAGAGTTTAAACACTTTTTCTGTCTAATTAGAAACTGAGTGGCAATAACACAATAGGTTAGTACAATTCAAAGCTAAAAAACGATTAAATCAATGTAAACGGTTGGTTAAAAACAGAAAATCTAATTATTCTGTCTTGCTGCTCATTACTGAAAGGGATAAACATAATAAATGATCTTAAAAGGAGCATTACTAATGGGATTAGGCTTTTATAAACATGCAAGATTTCTTGGTGTTTTTCTGTTATTCCTACTTGATGAAGTTATTTTACATCCATGTGATTTCACACAGACCGAAATAGATAGTGCCCTGAAAGTTTGCACCATAAAAGGTGTCCATTTTTATGGCTTTTGGGCATTTTCAGTTTAGCACCAACTTAGCAACTTTTCCTATTTATCAAAATAATTACATGGCTCTTAGTGAGATATCTATCTCCAGTTTTGTTTCATTGCTTGTCGTTTGTTGTCCTTGTTCAGGTAATATTCAGGGCCAAGCGGGGAATCAGCTACATGGGTGACGTGGTGATAGATGATGTCAGCTTCCAGGATTGCTCGCCTCTTCTTCCATCAGACAAGCCGTGCACATCAGAGCAGTACGCTTGTGCTAATGGCCACTGCATCTCCCAGGACAACTTGTGTGACTTCATCAACCACTGTGGGGACAATTCAGATGAAAACCCATACATCTGCAGTGAGGCTCTCCCCTCAGGGCTCCCGAGGAAAGATTTATTGCCAGATAATTGGATAGCCTATATTAATCCCCTTTTCTTATTTATTGCTGTCTTTCAGAGGGCTTTAGCGGACGCTGTGATTTTGAGTTTGACCTCTGTTCCTGGCGTCAGTGCCAGCAGGATAACTTTGATTGGCTGATCAAAGTGGGCAGCACTCCAACTATTGGAACTGGGCCATCGAGTGACCACACCCTGAGAGACCCCTCTGGACACTACCTGTACCTGGAAAGCTCTTTCCCTCAGGCAGTCGGTGATACTGCTCGTGTGATCGGACCCTTAATGAGCAGAAGGAGCTCATGGTGTAAGGTCAGACCAAGAGCAAAGAGCAGAGGAAAGATGTTTGGAGTTATTTATACTGTACACTAAAAGCAAAACTGTGAATGTTAACATTTAAATAATCTCAAAAACTGACATAACATGAAACCACAGTACAATTAAAAGCCTTGCATATCTTGAAGAAATGCATTGCACCAGTCACCAAAATCAACTAAAATCTTATGATAAGAAAGGTACAACGTTACAGCTGCTTTTGGTCAAATTTTGTAAATATTGTGCATAATTTCATGAAATTTGTGAGCTCTCCTAAGATTTATTAGCACTCAGAGTATGTAATGGGGATATTTCTCAGCTACCACCACATCAACCGTTAGCTCAATATCTATAACTTTGACTGAGTTATAGCCATTCTTGTGTTAACTAAGGTAATTGTGTCAGACATCTAGAATTGGGTTGACTCCAAAACATAGTTAAATATGAACATACATTGATTATCGTCTGAATGTTTCAAAGAAATAATTCTGCTGATTTATGACATATTTTGCCCACTACTGTTTTGCCTTTAGCAAAACACAATAAGGTCACAATCACTTATATAAATATTTTGCTAAAGGCTCTACACGGCAACTTCTTAAAGGGATACAACAGATTTTTTTAAGTTGGGCTCTGTGCCAAAGTTATGAGCAATTAACATCTTACCTGTTGCAGATAACTTTTTGTATGACCTCAGTTTGGAGAAATAGAGTTTAATAATGACCAGATTGATTAGCTAACGCTAGTCTTAGCTGGATCAATACCACAATGGGTTGTTACTATCTTCATACAACTCCAATATTGTTTTTAAGATCAGTTGATGCTAAATTGTTTTATTGCTCTCCATTTCACATTGCATGGTCATTACAACAGAACTCTGCGTTCAGCTTCAGCAGCTAGCTGTATAGTATATTAGTAGAGACTGTAGCACTCCTGACAAGAATTTCACATATTTTTCCTCCACCCGCTTAATATCACTAAGATCAGAAACATCTTATCTAAAAATGATGCAGAAAAACTGGTTCATGCATTTATCATGTCTAGGCTGGACTATTGCAATTGTTTATTATCTGGGTGTCCAAAAACTTCTTTATAAAGTCTTCAGTTGATCCAAAATGCTGCTGCCAGAGTTTTAATGAGAGTTGGTAGGAGAGATCATATCTCTCCAGTTTTAGCTTCTCTCCATTGGCTCCCTGTCAAATCCAGAATTGAATTCACAATCTTACTTCTAACCTACAAAGCTCTCAACAACCTAGCTCCATCTTATATTACAGATCTTATTGGTCCAGATTTTCCTAAAAGACCATGTTGCTCTCAGACTGCAATTCAATTCAGTTCAATCCAGTTAATTTATGTAGCGCCAAGTCACAACAGAAGTCATCTCAGGGCACTGAACAGAAACATATATAAATATATAAAGTAAGTTAACATTATTTATCTGAGGAGCAGACTGCTTTGAGTTTAACTCCATCACAGAACTCATCTTGAGCAAGCATGAAGGCAACAGTGGAAAGGAAAAAACTCCCTCATGAGAAAGAAACCTTTAACAGAACCAGACTCAGGACAAGCTGCTTCGACCGGCTGGGTTTGAGAGGAACAGGAAGCAGGAACAGATACACATTGGCAGGTCAAGAATCACATGTTAAGACAGAAATAGTATCAAATAAAAACTCTTCAATTTTAACAATTCGTTTAGGGAAATGAGGTCAATTTGTCCTCCAATAGTCAAGTTTATAGCAGCATAACAAGCCAACTCTAACTATAGGATTTATATATCCTTTATTTAAGGAAAGTCTTAATCCCAGTCTTAAAACTGGACAATGTGTCAGCCTCATGGACAGAAACTGGAAGTTGGTTCCACAAGAGAGGAGCCTGATAACTGAAAGATCTTCCTCCCATTCTGCTTTTGGAAACTCTAGGAATTGCAAGGGAACCTGCAGTCTGAGAGTGAAGTGCTCTGTTGGGAAAATATGGAACAATAAGAACTGTGTAGGGTTTCTGGGGTCTTGTCATAAATGTTGTGTTTTTCCTCATGTTTGCCTGTCACCCCTCAGCATTTCTCCTCCTGTGTTCCAGCAACGTCACACCTGTGTCGAATCCTAATCACAGCAGATGCCTTTCATTTTGCCTTGTTGGTGTCTGTATATATTCAGCCCCTACAGATGGCAAATGATACTTAATGCTCATTTAAAACATTTGATCACATAACATCATCTAAACTCTAGACAAATATATCAAATTTATGGATAGCTTTGTGCATTTTTACAGCAGGATTATATTAAATTGTGTAATTGTTTGAATATTCTATTCATAAATTTTGCATTCTGATCTTAGTCCAAAACTAATGTTTGGAAAATAATGTCATATCCTATTGTATCATAGTGTATTGTATCATGTTGAAACATACAATACTGTATCATATTGAAACATACAATATTATATTGGGTTTTTTTTTCTGCACTGCACTCTCGTGCAAGGTGGATGCCTCCTCTCCCTCTCTTGCTCTCCTCCTGCTTTTTTTGCTCTCTGTCTTTGTATCAGAGTTTTTGTTACACATCTTCCGAAACTAAAACTAATGTCATGGATCTGGTCAGCTGGACTTTCAACGCAATCGACAAAATCTTTTCAACAAAGCGACAGGGTCCTGGAGAGCCCTCATGCCCCACTGAGATTTATGCGGCAGGATATGTCATGGATCTGTGGGGAGTTTGGGAGCTGATGTGTCTTTCCGTTTTGCCTCAGGAGGCCAAAAACGTTTATATAATTGGATTCATGATAGCAGGTTTCTGCTTTTTGGTATCGGCGGATTCCTAAATTATCAGCTATTAAGGAAGATGGCACCAGCAGTTTCAGCAATGGCAAAACTGCAGAGTCTGTGTGAAGGTTTGGTTCATGTTTCGAGCACTCAAAATCAGCTGATTTACGAGCTAAACCGTAAGATGGAAGCAATTTGTGAGAATCACCGGTCACCTGCAACTTCTGGGACTCGCTAGCATGTTGGAGATGACCTTGGAGGAGGCTCATAGCATGGACCAGTGGAATGTCCACTAAACTGGCCATTTTGGATCTTGAAAGTACCAGCAGGACTCAAGGCTGACAAGAAAAAAAAAAACAGTCTGCCTGAAAAAACAATCAACAATTGTGGCTTATCTGAATCTGACTCTCCCGGTTGGCCTCGAAAACAGGCCAACATCAAATTTCTTCTGGGATATGTGTAAACTAAGGAAAAGCTTCGTCTATCATCCCCCTCGAGAACTTCTATAGAAGCTTATCAGAACTGTACCAGCTGACCAACATCTTATCAGGACTATAGTCTATCTGGAAGTGCTTCATTGACAAATCTCACCGCCTTGCTTGATGTCTTAAATCGTGTCCTGATAGGACAAGGTGTGAAGAGATCTTATTTTGTAATGCCACCCCTATCCTCATGACCTTTTCCTCTTTTCTATCTAAAAATAATTCTGAAAAAGATAAGAGGCAGTGCTCCAGTAGCAGCAGCAACGTGCACTCCGCCATCTTTCGGACGACTGTACAAACATAATCTCGCTGTATTTTGGTACAATGATAATAAAGCTTATTCTGATTCTACTGTATCATATTGAAACATACAATTCTATATTGTACTATATCATATTGAAACACATAATACTGTATTGTATTGTATCATACAGATTGTGCTGTGCATTCCTCATGTCTTCTGTAATTAAATGTGAAAAAAAATCACTGTCAAGACTTTTGAGTGATGTTTGTTTATTTTTGCAGATGCGTTTCTACTTTCACATGTCTGGAGAAGGCATTGGGACCCTCAGCGTTTTCATCAAAGCCAAAGGGCACCATCACCTCCTGCTGAACCTGACAGGAGATCAGGGCAACTACTGGCAGATGAGGGAGATCCAGCTGAGCTCCTCCATGGACTTCCAGGTGGTGTTTGAGGGCAAGGTGGGGCGCAGTGAAAAGGGGGACATCTGCTTGGATGACATCACCTTCTCTCCTGGGTGCCTTCTTGCCCCCTCAGTTACAAACACCGACACCACTCCTCCTTCAGCAGGTAAACACTTCTCTTCTGGTTTGTTCATCATAAACACTAGAGGTAATTTCTGAGACAAAGTTAGTTGTATTTACTTAGATTTTACTCTGCAACCAAACTAATTAGTTTTTTTTTTCATTCTTACCCAATTGATGCTAGTAACTTTCTGTCACTTGGTAAGCTATTAGTCTAAAATACAATCTTTATCCAAACAAGTTTTATAGTTTTTGAATACGTAAAAAAAATAAAAACCTATAAGGAGTTGACAGTTTGTGAAGATTGGTGATTATCAAGCACACGATTTAAAAACTGTCCACGAGGTTTCTAAAAGATCAGCATTTGGTCCAGTAATTTTAAGGGAAATTAACTTTTAAAGATGTGAAAGTTTTGAGCTTAAAGAAGGACTGCATTATATTTAGGGACTGGAGTATGCAAGGATATTCATAATGAAAAGTAACTTTTAATACCCTTTTATTTTCTAATAAATTACCAAAAATAACACTAGTGTTCCTTGAAACAAAGCTTATTGCAAATTTGTATGTTAAAGATTTAAATAAATATCTTTCACAATCAACAAAGTCCATGCTCAATAATCCAGGTATACAATCCAACAATTTTAAGTCAGGTCATCTGGACAGTTTCCTTTTTTTTGTGTGCTGAAAAGTTTCACCTTCCATCCAGAAGGCTTCTTCAGTCAAGGAAACACACAACATAAAACTGATTCTTCCCTCAACAGCTTACTCCAAAGTGGAACAAACCAGTTATGTTGGTGCTAAGATGGTCTCTTTGGCACGCCCCCTCCTCCGGTGCTGGCCCTCTCACCTCGTCGACAGTCATGTCAAACTAGTTCAAAACCAACAGAGTCCATGCGCAATAATCCAGGTATACAATTCAACATTTTTCAGTCAGGTCATCTGGACAGTTTCTTTTTTTGTGCTGAAATGTTTCACCTTCCATCCAGAAGACTTCATCAGTCAAGGAAACGCACAACACAAAACTGATTATTCCCCCAGTACCTGGATTATTGAGCATGGACTTTGTTGATTTTGAACCAGTTTGACATGACTGTTGACGAGGTGAGAGAGCCGGCACCGGAGGAGGGGGCGTGCCAAAGAGGCCATCTTAGCACCAACATAACTGGTTTGTTCCACTTTGGAGTAAGCTGTTGAGGGAAGAATCAGTTTTATGTTGTGTGTTTCCTTAACTGAAGAAGCCTTCTGGATGGAAGGTGAAACGTTTCAGCACAACAACAAAAAAAGAAACTGTCCAGATGACCTGACTGAAAATTGTTGGATATCTTTCACGATCTTTTAGTGCTTGGAATGCATGAATGAAATTACTTTCAGCCACTACCACATCAAATTTTAGCTTAATATCTGTAAAACTGACTAAATTATAGCCATTTTTTGTTGGCCAGAGATGAGTAGCTGTGGCAGCCAATTTTATGTAAATCAGACTGATTCACAAGTTAGTCCGTTTGAGATGCAAATCTGATCATTACCTTCTGAGAGTTTATTTAACACCCATTCACTGGTTCATGAGATATTTGGCTAAAAGACTAATGAACTCATGCAGAGTTCAAGCTGACAAACAATATTGAGAAAAATGCTTTTTTGTCCACTACTTTAGTTTATTGCCAACAGTGTTGTAATTTATTTGTTTTCTATTCTTATAAGAAAATGTTAGGGTGCAACTTGTTGGAAACGCTGCCTAGTTTTATTCCATTATTTCCTTCTTTTGTTGGAGGTTTTTCCTTCCAGAAAGCTTAGACATCTTTTTCATCAGACTGGCTATAATTTCATTTCAAGAAAGGCCCCGGTACAGAACTGATGGCTGCACCTCGGCTTACGTTGCTGCTTCACTGTCATGGGTTACTGAGACACTCATTGGGGCCGAGCCAAAGTTAATTCAACCAGTCGCCCTCCCTATCTCTGAAAAATAAAAAAAACATCTGCTGTGATGAAAGTATAGAGTTTATATGACCTCGTAAAACCCAATGAGACACTGGGTGTGTGCAGCGTCTCTAGGATACAGTGGAGACCTTTGACAGCTTCACGACTAAATAAACTCAATTGCTCAACAGTAGCAGGTCATTCTAAACAGAATCAACAACACGCTGTTTTCAAATTAAAATAAAATGCCTTGCGCAAAATTATTTTTGAATGACTCAGTCGTTTTTATAATGGCTGTTTAATTCCACCGCTTTAGGCTGAGCGCTGAGTCCGACATACATTTCTTATGTCACTAAACAGCAACACAAACACTCCCTCTTTTATGACATTTTTCCAATGTAAGAACTTTATCTCACGATTCCCAAAATAACCCTGAGAGCCCAATTAAAAGATTTGAAGGGTTTGGGAAAGATATAACTTCTGTGTAGATATGTTCAGTTGTAATTACTTTGTTTTAATTACCTCCACTGGGCATGATTTAGCAGTTAGAAAACGAATAGTTGCTAAGATGTTTTTGAGTCACTTTTTTTACAGAAAATGAAAATCTGAAGCGTTAGAAAAATAATGTAATATTTCCGATAAAGCTTAAAAGAGACAAGACCAAGTAATACATGTATATCAAAAACAATTCAAGGGAGTATCTTCTTAAAAAGGCTAAATGGTCATGTAGACTATTGAAAAACAACAAAAATCCATTTTCACATACGAACCTTCCTTATTTGAATCCCTGAGGCATGCTTTCATGCTGTGATCCCCAGTCTGTGGTCCTGTACACTGTGGAACAGGTTTGCATTAAAGAAATATTTATACTTTGCTCTACTGAAACTCTGATTGGTGTCCCAGTCCCTGCTTCTGAAAAAAACAACGCACCATTGTGCTGCCACCACCATGCATCACATAGGGAATGTGTTGGGAAAGTGATGCCTAGTTTCCTCCACATATAAAGTTTTGAACTAAGGTAAACAGTTCAGCAGAGACTCTAGCTCTTCACAATCGAAGAGCACTTCAACGAGCTTTCAGGTGTTTTGCACTCTGTCTTCTCTCCGGCCACTTTGCCCTAACGCCCAGATCTGTGGAGGCCTCGGCTTCTGGTTGTCCAGAATCGTTGTCTGGTTGTAAAAAGTGAAGCAGTCTGAATACTTTCTGATGCCGCTGTAGTGAACTTTAAAATGAAGGACAATTGATGAATCCATATGCACTTCTCAGAAACTTTGAGCCATATTTGAAGACTGTAATGTCACTGTGCGTAAGGTAGACTTTGCCTGAGTTGTGAGTGAAAGCTACTCCTTCCGTGTTTAGGCAGCTGCAGGCTGCTCAGGATGTACAGTAAGACTGACAAGACAAAAGAGTGTAAGAGCTGTAATTATATACAGTCACCCCTCAGAGAGCATATAGACCCAGCTTCAGTCTACCACCCCAGAATGAGGCAGGGAAGTCAACTGCATCACATATTTTGTGTCTGTGGCCATTAGAATAAATACACAGTGGCTAATTATATAAAATAATAATAATAATGTAATGTTACATTCATTATGATTTTGTTTTTCTATCGAGTAGTATATGCGATTATGGATGTACCTTCATAAGATGCTGGGAAAATTAATCTTACTGAAACAAACTGCTTTCATTCTCAGCTTCTCAAAACAGGAAGTCTCTGCCTATTGATTTGCCAAAAGCATGAATAAAATATTTTAAGATATAACTTCATTGATCCTGCAGGAAATTGTTGAAATGAAGACCATCAGGACAGTGTGTAATAACCAAATTCAACTTCTGTGGGACTTTTTGTTCGTTTTTGCAGTAATGTTGTGATGCTTAAAGAAAGCTGTCGTCTTTATTTATGTTAAAAGGTTTGTCAGCTTTTTCAAATGTACTGAACATATTGATAATTTCCTTTAAGAAAACTGTGTTAATTTATTGTGGTTCTAGCTTTAGTACTTTTTAAAATGTTTTTTATGAACGCATCATAAATCAGTTTAAAACATATATAGTATATACATTTTCATTTTAGTTTACAAGATTTTTGTCATCTTAGCTTTTCTTTTACAATTTCAATTACAGTAACTTGTGAATGAAAATTTGAATCTTGAACAAACTCCATACACCAGGGGGCAGTGTGCCAGACCACATACTGTGCCTCAGGAATTATGAACCTGAAGATACCAATAACAACAACAAAATAAATAATGGAATTGATGAGAAGAAGTTAATTAGTCTGCATTTAGATGAAACACATAAAAAAAAGAACTTTTCTTCTGAATAAATCCACTTACAGTTCGTAGCGAAGGTTGCAGCACAGTTTGGAGCCATGTCTTCCTGTGCTTCTTTATTGGACCACATTGCTTCTGGTTCTGTGCACCTAAAGAGGAACAAAGGATTAGGAAGGACTTATACCCTTTTCTCTCCTTTAATTACATGGACCACCCCTCTTCCTTTCTAACACTTTCCAAAGCTAAGACTGACCCCACTGGAATGTTTGGCTCCAAAAGAAGTCTATTCGACCCCCTCCCTTAGCTTTACCAATGATACAGTGATTTGGGCATCCAGCTTTGTGCTTCTTTGTCATTTTCAGCCTCGTAAAGAGAGTGTGATGCTGTGTGCAGAGGGTCCCCCGAAGACTCAGTATAATGTTTGACTCAACTGTTGTATATAACACACATCTGTTTTATGATAAATGGGAACATTGCTTTAGATACATTATATATATATAT